AAATCGTTATAGAAGACCCCCCTCTTCCTATTCAAAATAAAATTTTCAAATCTTTATAGAATGGCCGGGTCTAAGCGGGCCGGGTTTTCTATAATAATCAATATAATCTTAAATCTACTGACTATTCTAGAATATACTACATAATATAAAAATAGAAATTTGTGGTATATCATAATAATATATTAATTAATACGTTATTATTATTATTATTATTATTTATTATTCTATTCTATGGAACTATATTCGTTTTCACAACGATAAAGTAAGTTTAAAAACCACGCTAAAAAGATCAGCTATTGACGTCGTGGACTGTGGTAACCAGTATAATGTAATGTAACTATGACAGAGATATGACTGATAAGATCATAGCACTGTAAATGTTCGTTATCAATAACAATTTTAATATGACCAACGAATGTTGAATTTTTCATTTTGAATTTGATTTGACTTAGTGTGTACTGTGTACTGTGTACAAAATAAAAATTTGGCTAGCTAGCGAGCAGAGCAAGCGCCTTTTTTTTATATACAATTAAAAATGTTTATTATAGGGCCAGTCATTATTATGCCCTACCCTATCAAATATTGAAATGACGCCCCTGTATTTAGGAGTGTGTTGGGTCTATATCCTTCAGTAGAATGTTTGTTTTTCCCTGGTTTAAGAATAGGAATTATTATTCCCTTTTTCCATTCTTTAGGTATAACGCCTGTGTGCCATATATTGTTGTATATATTCAATAGAAATTTTTTTGCTGTTTTGCCGAGGTTTATAATAAAACAATAAGGGATACTATCGGGGCCAGGGCTTTTGCTCTGGCATTTATTGAGTGCCGTTTCCATTTCATTGAGTGTTATACTGGAGTTCAAGTCAATTTGGTCGCTATTGTTAGGGTTTATCATTGAGATTATTGGTGAGTTTTCGGATGGTGTTTTTATTCCATCTATAAATTCTTGTTTGTAGATTTTGTTACTAAAATTATCTTGGAAGTATGTGCCGTCTTTTGGAGATGATGTTGTCCCTTGTTCGTCAGATATATATATTTCTTGGTTTCGGTTTAGACCTTTCAATGAATGGATTTTGTTCCATGTCTTGGATGAGTTAGTTTTGGAGTTAATGCTGGTTGTGAATTCTTTCCATGAGTTTTTTTGCTTTTTTTTATTAAAAATTTGGCTTGGGCGCGCAGTTTTTTGAGTTGTATGAAATTTTCTAAGGTTTTATTTTTTTTGTACGTGATTAAGGCGTTCTTTTTATTGAATATAGCTCTTTTGATCTCGTCATTCCACCAAGGAACTTTGGGATTTTTGTTATGGTTTATACTGCTACCAATTGATATTTCTGCTGCTGAGGTAATTATGTTAGTTAATATTTTGACTATGTTTTCTAAATTGGATGGGTCATTATGTTGTATTTTGCTAATTTCTTCTTCTATAATATCGCTGAATAGTGTGCAGTTAGGTGTTTTTAGATTCCATCTACAGTTTTTATTCATATTAGTATCCCCTATCCTGGACATGAAGTTTGTGAGTATTGTTGGTTGGTCACTGCTATAGATATCAAGCAGCACTCTCCACTTGAGTCTTTGGGCTAAGGAGTATGTGCACATAGTTAAGTCTATGGAAGATAAAGTTCCATTGGCTAGGTTTATGTGAGTGGGAGATGTGTCATTTAGAATTACAATGTTTTCATTTTCTAGTATTTTTTCGTTTATCTTGCCTCTATAGTCTGTTTTTTTTTGATCCCCACATTGTGCAATGTGCATTAAAGTCGCCTAATATCATAAATGGCTTGGGGAGTTGTTTAATTATGTTTTCGATGTCGGTTAATTCGATTTTAGTTTGGTTGGGAAAATATAAGTTGCTTACATTTAAATTTATTGCATTGAGTTGTATAGAAATGGCTCAACCGTTTATTTGTTTGCTAGGAAAGAATGACTTGACATAGATTGCTACGCCACCACTGGCTCTTAAACCATTAGTTCTGTTTTTGGTGTAGCATATATAGTTCCTTAAAGTTTTATAGGTTTGGTCGGTAAAATTAGTTTCTTGTAAGCATAATCAGGCGAATGCTCGGCTATTAGTATTTTTAATTCATTTATTTATTTTTTTGAAAATCGTTAAGGTTCTATTGTATTAGTTTTGTGTTTTGTGTGTGGTTATTTTCTTTTTGATTTGCATTCATTGGAATTTTAAAAATTTGATTGGTTTATTTGTATAAGGGCTTTACGAGTGTAACTCTTGTGGAATTGCTTGGAATAGTAGATTAGATAATTTGGTGAGTTTGGTTATTGTTGCTCGGTCGTTTATTTTAGGTCTGATTATTTCGATGGTTTTTAACATTGAAGGTATGTCTACATTTGCTTCTTCACAGAGAGAATGAATGTTAATTGATTTATTGGAGAAATTTTCGATTATGTATTTGAATTGGTGAAAAGAGATATTGATTTCTTCGTTTTCAGTAAATAGGTCTTGTGCAGATTTGAGGTGGTCCTCAGGATTTATAGCAATATTTTCAAGAGAATTACTTTTTTTAAGTTTTTTAATTTGATCTTGAGATGTTTTCTTGTTTTTTTTGGATTCTTCTTTTTTTTTGGGTTTACTAAGCGACGAAATGGTATTTGATTTTCATTATCAGTTATATACGAATAGTTTTGTATCAGTTCGTTTACTGTTTTTTTGTCTCTAAAATATATACAAAATCGATTGTTCGATATACGGGACGCAAAAATGATGTTTAAGCAGTGTTATTTTGCTAAATGCTTTAACATATTCTATTTGTGGTTTATCGTTTATCGTGTTTACTATGATGGCTTGTTCTTTTTTAGGAAACGTTGTGTTAGTTGTTGTTTCGGCAAAGGTTTTTGTGTTGTTAGTTTTGGGTGGTGGTGGCAATTGAGATAATTCTTGGTTGTGCATGTTGGATAAAATATCCGTAGACATTTTATCGGTTTAATTGGCCGCTAAGTACCAGCGGCCGGTGTAATTATGCGTTGCAATTACGAGTAAGATAAGATTACATACCTATTTCACTGTTGATTGTTGTGTGCATGTATATACTGATATTGCTATCGGGTGCTAAGAAATACGGAACACACGTGTGCTTGGGACGGAGGTTAAACACGTACTGACAGATTTATTTGTCACTATGTTAGCTAGGGATTGACCAAAGGAATATTCTATATTGTAATCAAATAATAAGATATTGACAATTAAAAAAAAAAAAAAAAACAGAAATTTATGTATTTTAAATATTTAAGTACGCCATTAATTTTTGTAATAATAAAAATTCCTTCGAACAAGTTTTAGTAAAGATGTTCAAGATTTTTAATTTTTTTTCAAAATTTAAAACTGTCAAACCCAAGTCCCACAGTTTTGTCTAGCTTATGAACTGTTTTACGTGATTTTTTGTATTTTCTACAGCCCCCTTAATAAATGATAGAAATGTGAAGATTCTAATATAATTAACTCAAACAAAATAATAATGATAACTGAAAAATATCTTAAAACTCAATAAATTTGACATTAATCATTCAATATCAATAATTTTCTTCAGTACATATTCCATTGACTTAACTATTGTTTTTAAAATCCAAATAAGTTAAAATCTGCTTTTTTTTTTTTTAATAAACATTCCTTTAGTACTCGTGTAGGGATATCAGAGATTAGATTAATACTAAAAGACATTAGTAGAATCAAATATTTATATTTCAGATATATGATAAATTATAGTACATAGTATAAATAAACTATGATATAAAATATTAAAGTATGATCAATGAATTAAATTTAAATAATAAACGATTAAAATCTAACTTCACTGATTAAAAACTAATTAAACAGGGTATTATTTTATAGAAGACAAAATTTCTCAATATACATTTTTCGAAAAATTACTGTTGGTATGAAATTAATTATTTATTCATTTATATGCTGGAAAACGAAACGGGAATTGGGCTTTTATTTACACTTTGGATGTTGACATTAGCTTTTTTTTTTGTTCTTATCATGTTCGCTGTTATCAATTGTTATCAAAAATCGGGAGAACTTTACCCGTCCCTACCAGCCCTATTTCTGGATTACGTTCTTTACAAGATATTTTTTGTGTTAATACCGGTCCCACTGCGCAAGTGACGAGCGATAATTACGTTCGTTGTTATCAATGACTGTTTTGACGGCCGACGGGTGACGAGCACATTTTGTACACAATTCCAATTTCAACTCTCAACTCGTTCGTCAGTGTCTAGTCAGTACTTCTATTGTTTAGACTACCAATTCAAAAAAAGCCTTTCTTCCTTTTCCACCCAACAACATGCCAGTGTTTAAAGGTGAGTGAAATCAATTATTTAATACTCATTGCCGTTCATTAAATGTATTTTTTTGTGTTTACAGTAAAAGTTAAATGGGGAAAAGAAGTGTATCCTGATGTAGAGATAAATACAGATGAGCCGCCACTCGTGTTCAAGGCACAGCTATTTGCTTTGACCGGCGTCAATCCCGTTCGTCAAAAAGTGATGATGAAAGGTGGCACACTCAAAGACGACGTCTGGGGCAATGTACAAATCGTAGAAGGTCAAAATATACTCATGATGGGTAGTAAGGACGAAGATGTTCCTAAGGAACCTACGATCAAACCTATGTTTGTTGAAGATATGACTGAAACACAACTTGCCACTGTTGTTAGTTACTAGCTTTTACTACAATAATAACATCAATAGACCAATATTCTAATCGATAAATCTAATTGATTTTTAGACTAATATGCCTGCTGGTCTTACCAATTTGGGCAATACTTGTTATTTGAATGCAACTGTTCAGTGCCTCAAAACTGTTCCTGAATTGCGACAAGCCTTATCTGATTTTAATGCTGCATGTAAGTATTTAATAAGATGTATATTGTATTTATTTTTCTACTTATCTAATCAATTTTAGCATCTTCTACTTTATCAAATTTTGTACCGGCTGAAAAGATCACCATAGCATTAAGTAATTTATATCAAACCATGGAGAGTAACCAGACTATTCCACCACTTGTACTTTTACAAGTATTACATCAAGCATTCCCACGATTTGCTGAAAAAGTAGAAGGGCATTATATGCAACAGGTAAATTGAATGGCTAAATAATACTTTAAAATTGAATTGTATGATATTATGAAAATTTTTTAGTCATATTCTTTTTAAAAAATAACTTTCTTTCTACGTTAAAATGATGGATTTTTTTAAGGATGCTAATGAATGTTGGGTTGAACTTGTTCGAATGCTACAACAAAAGTTACCAGCTCTAAAAAATAAGAACGATGAAAAGCAAATAACTAATTACAAGTAAGCTTTTCTGTGTATACTTTTTAATTATAAATTGATCGTTATTTTTTTAGATCTGCAATTGATCAATTTTTTGGTGGTTCATTTGATGTTGAATGGAAATGTGTTGAAAGCGATGTGGAAGAAGTAACTAAAACAACTGAATCATTTCTTCAACTGAGTTGTTTTATATCCCAAGAAGTCAAGTACATGCATTCTGGATTAAAAAATGTAATTATTGAAGTATTATTTTTTAATAACAGAATTACAATTTTTTTTTATGTACTATGTATAGAGAATGCAAGAAAATATTACCAAACATTCACCTGTTCTTGGCAAAGATGCTGTTTATACAAAAACTGTAAGTTTTAAGTAAAAAATGTTTGGTAATTTACATAGTTTTAACATTGAATTGTTTATATTCTAGTCAAAAATTAAAAGACTGCCAGCATATCTGACTATTCAGTTTGTGCGATTTTTCTATAAAGAAAAGGATAGAATTAATGCAAAAATTTTAAAAGATATTAAATTTCCAATTGAATTTGATGCATTTGAACTGTGCACACCAGAACTTCAAGAGAAACTTGTACCAGTTAGAACCAAATTCCAGGTAAAATCAAGGCATTTCCTAGTGTATTGCTAAGTAGATTGGTTGTTATTATAACATTCAATAATCTGTAGGAGTTGGAAGATAAATTAGCCCATGTAGGAGTAAAGTCAACTGCAAAAGAATTAGCAGATTCTAAAAACGAAGAAAAACCTACAGCTCCATATTGGTTTGAAGATGGTAAATATTAATTATTACATAATAATAGGCATTACTAATATTTAAATTAATTTTTAAAATGTAAATATATATAATTACTAGCTGAATTACCCGGAATTACTCATGTGTAGTTTTTGCTTTCTCTAAATAAAAAGCTTAAATCAACAAACATTGTTATGTTTTAAAGAAGAAAAACATTTATTTTACTTTATTTAATCAAGAGCTAAATATTAGTTGTTACTGAATTATAAATAGAAATAATATTTACAAATAATTCTTATTACTCTATAGATTCTCTACACATTATTATTAAAAATTATTCTCTAATCCTTATCCTTATATATATATATATAAAAAAAACAGGCCTTTTTTATTTTCCAATTTTGTGATAATACTATTTTACATTTTCTCAATTTTTTTTTTCAGAATTATGCTAAACACTTCTGAGTGTAACCATATTGCCTGATATTTGTTTTTTTGTATAAGGGGAGGTAGAGGGGGTGGTATTTTTATAGTTCGATTCTGTGACAATATTATTTAACATTTTTCCAATCCCCTCTCTTCTCTCCTCCGACATAAAAAATTAAAAATCGGGCAATGTGGTAACATTCAGGAAGGTATTTGGAACAATTCTGTGAAAAAAACATATATAATATATAATTCACTCAATATAAATTGTAAATAACTTTCAATCTATAAAATGTATAGATATATATATTATATATTTATTATTTAATAATACAATACTTGAAAATCAAAAAGTTTACTTCACAGTACATATAAAAATAAAAAAATTATCTCTTCGTTAAAATTCAGATTTTCTTTATTATTAATCCAGAAAACTGTTGTTACGAACGTAATGTGTGAACGCGTAACAAATGTATATCTTGAGGTATTGTATGTTGTAATCTTATTAGAAGTAATAAACATACAAGGGCTTAATGTAATTTATTCGAGCGTAGCGAGAACATTTTTTAGAATTAATATATATTTTGTTAGTGCGTATGTATTCCCATAAATATATTTACCAATACACCACTGCTTATAACTATTAAGAAATTGAATAAATTATTAATAATTATTACAAAACTTTCAACAATTACTTTTGTTTAAACAGATTATGGTTCAAATAATTCCGGTTACTATTCTCTTCAAGCTGTCTTAACCCATAAAGGTAGATCAAGTTCTAGTGGCCATTATGTTGGTTGGGTTCGACATTCACCAACATCTGACAAATGGATTAAATGTGATGATGATACAGTTACATCGGTGACCACTGAAGATATACTTAAACTATCCGGTGGAGGTAGTACAATTTATTTATTTTTGTAATATTTTAAATTTAATTAAAATGCAATATTTATTTTCAACAGGTGATTGGCATTGTGCATATGTTCTACTGTATGGTCCAAAGCTTCTTCCAGCAGATAATTCATCAGCTTCTAGTTAAATTCATTCTGTTAGTTTTCTTTCACAAGAAAAAAATGGATTCCAAAACATATATATATATTTTTTAAAGCATTATTTCTTTTAATAATTATTTTTAATGTAAAGGAAATAAATATTATAGATTATGAAATAAAGAAACAATATTGTCAAAATAATTTATTTAAAATACAGTTTTTTTTAATTTATGAATAACATTGTTATGAGAATTTATCATTATTAATTTACCATTTAGTCATTTCTGTCTTTCCATAACAGGAATAATCAGCACATAAAAATAGTAGATATAAAATTACATTAAAAATATAAGTGAGGAATAAAATACTTGGTTCACAATCAACAACCCTATATGGAATATAAATTCTTGCAATACAGTTTCTTAAACTTGAAAGTTTCAAATATCCCTGGAAGCTTAATTCGGTGAAGATAATTTACACCTGAAAAAAATACTCTTAAAATAATGTAGTTATTTTAAAATTGTCATAACATAAAATAACCCTACTTATTAGATATAAAAATATCAGATAATAGTTACAATAATTGTGGTGCAATTTTGTATTTTACATTAGAAATATGATTGTCTTAATTTTAATAATAAATCAATAAAATCTTCAAACTTTTAAATCCTATGTGATGAAGTATTAACATAAATAACTAAGCTTAAATCATGTGATGTAGTAGTTAAGAAATAGTACAATGGATATAAATTATTAATTATATTGTAATGTAACTATTATATACTATAAACTAGTAATTTGTTCTAAACATACTCATCAATAATATTTATTGGTAAAATATAGAAATCAGCATAAATTATATACCAAATTGCACAAGATCATTTAATCTAATTAACATTATATGTTAAGCTTTTAAGAGAGCAAATTTTTTTTCAAATAAAATTATAATTTAGAAACAATGATTTACACCAGTTACCTTATGCTATAAACTTCAATAAACAATTGATCATGCTATGAAGTATTTTTAACTTGATTAAAATTAGTTTTTCAAAATAAATTATAGTAATTATTTTGCAGTACATTAAACACTATGTATTGATGTTAATATATAACATATATATAAATTATATACATATATAATATATAACATATATCATCATTGAAGTCCTTATGTTAATTATATTTTTACTATAGTTATAGATTAAATTTACCTCTTTTTATGTGCATGTAAGGATTCTTGTCCACTATCTTCTTCACTTGAATTTCCATCACTAGAACTGCTTGAACTACTAGAACTACTTGAACAACTAGAACTATCTGATGCAAGACCAGTATGATTTTTCAAGTCTACAGAATCAGCGATGGCAGCTAACTCAGGCTCTTTATTTTTCAACACTTTATACCACTTTCGTGACAGTTTTGGTCGTCCTCTGACTGTTTTATGCCATACCACAGGAAAATTGGTACGACTACAAAAATTTTGGGTAACTGCAATGGTAGTATCTAAATTAAGAACTACATGCCACCATCCGCCAGGTACATACACAGTTTCACCAGGTTTTTGAAGTATCTCAATCTAAAAATTTTAAATTAAATTTACTTAATAGGTTTGTTTTTTACAATCATCTTATAAGTTTACAATATATAAGTTATATTTTATAAATAAAATCTACATTATTAAGATTCAAATACAGCAAGCAGTAATACATATTTAAAAACCTTTAAAATGTACATCAAATTTATAAATATTGTTATTTAAACTATTATTTAAATAAAACCAACTGGTGCACAATCCTTAGGCCACGTTGGCAACTGGGTACGAGGATAGATGACTTTAAACCAAGTGATTGCTTCATCGCGTTGTTTTCCACCCTCAGCTGAGGTAACTTTAATAAGCTCTTTAGGTGTATGAGTAGGAAATAAGCACCATCTAAAAAAATATTTCATCATCAACAAGTATAACACCTTATAATGAAAATCAATAAATAATTTAAACCTTTTGTGTCCAATAATTAATGAATTCCAAGCACTGGTACCTAATGGATCTATGTGGATTCCTGTTCCTGATCTAGAAGGACCCATCACAAACCATCTATAGGGAGGTCTTTTTTTTTCTCCTGCATATTTAAATAAATCATCTTGAAAATATATGGGTATATCATAATCATCCAATAACTTTTTTCTACGATGATGCTGTAAAAAAATTAAATACAAAAATATATTTTATTAAATAACATATGAATGCATACTAATATGTTCACAATATTTAAAGACTATTTATCTTTTTATACTAATTGACATCTTATAAAATGATACACGTACTATTAATTCAAGTACATAGTAAACGTATTGAGAATAAAAAATGTAGCTTACATCACCAAAACTACTGTCAAATATGTATAAAGGACTATCATCTTTATTATTATTCATGTAATGAACAAAATATTTCATTTTCATTTTAACACTGTATCCTTGATTGTCTTCTCCACATTTAAATCTTTGGTTACGATATTTTTTCCCTATTCTCTAAAAAAACATAAAATAGTTTAGTGGCATAGCTCATTTTCTATATTATACATTGTGGATAAATCAATTATAATATACTTCTAATGTCCATTTATATGATGCTCTCCAATTTCTTTGTATTCCTTCTATCACAACTGGTTTGTATGGTCGTTCATACTTTTCTACAAATACATTTGGACTCACAATTTCTACATTTATACGTTCTACATTATCTTGAACTTTTGTAAATGGCTTAAAATTGTCTGCATAACTATGAGCATACCATGCATATTTATCACTTAATTCTAGAAAAAATATATTATAAATGATTGAAAATAATTAATTAAAACATTAAGTATTCTATCAAAATGTTTGCTAAAATAAACTAATCAAACACTGTCAGATTCTGACAGAGCTATTAGAGTTATCATTGAAATTATTTCTGTTTTTTAATCAGGTGATGTTTGTTTAGACGAATATGGCTTATATTTAAACATATTCAATATATTTTAGAATTGCATAATATAGTCATCAAATTATAAAAAAAAAAACAATAGGTATAATTTAATATATTACGTTATATTAATATAAATTATCAAAAGTGCATGTCAATATTATAATAATTCAATCAACCTATGATTAAATAAATTGTAATAAATTGTAATTATTTAAGTAAATTTTAATTTCATTTAACATAATATTCTAATGAATAATTAACAAGCTATAGAGGTAACATATTTAATTCATAATTGCTTTAATATATTTATGCTTATATTAAATATATTATATATGAGGATTTGAAAAAGTTATGCGTATAATTTAATTTTAAATAAATAGTTTAGGTTTAAATAAGTATTTAAATTTGAGAACTATAATGATTACTCTTATTATAACTATAATCAGTGGTGTAACTGGGAAAAAACCAAGGGGGGCAATATAATATATTTATTATTACCAAAAACCTGACACCCCCCCCTCATCAGTTAAAACATATTTTTATTGTATGTATTTTATATACTATATCTAATTGTTTGATTTTACATAAGTCTTTTAACTCATTTCATGGTTAAGATAAACATAAATTGTAGGTAGCATGTACTAGGTACCAATATTGTTAAATAATATCCATAAGAGTTCATTAATAAAAGGTGCTATTTGTACTGTTGGACTATCCTTGAGGGGGGGGGGCAAAATTATACCTTTATCTCTAAAAAAATTGTCAGATGGGGCACTTTCTCCCCTAGCACCCCCAAAATTACGCCAATGACTACAATAATTATAACTAGGGCCCAGATTTAAATGCACTTAAAACCATTCAAAAATGCTCTAAAAAATACCTGAAAATATCCTTAAAAAATGCATTTTACCACAAAAATTAACTTAAAAATGAAAAAATAACTTTAAAAATAAAATATTTTTTTTTTATTTTGGGCATTATTTAACACACTATTTAAAACATTAAAATCACATTCACACGTAATACAAGCAAAATCTGCTAGGTAATACGAACTTAAGTTAATTTGTTATTTGACCTAATACTGGTGACGTTCCATAGTCAATAATAAGATAAAAACTGAATAGAAAAATAAAGATTGACAATGTGCATGGAAAAATCTGATAAACCTACTTAAATATCAAAAAAATAATTTTTATTTTGATTTTATTTTGAATAGGCTAAATTTGTTTAGTAAATCGAACAAATATGCATTAAAAACCAACAAAATGACCCAATAATACTAAAAATGCTCTAAAAACGAAAAAACGTCAAAATATGCAAAAAAATGCTTTATAAAATTTCTAGTTTTGAAGCCCTCGTTACATGAAACGAATTATGTTCTTAAAGAGCATTGTGTATGATTAACCAAAAAAATATGCACTTTGCATGGAAATCCGGGCCCTAATTGTAACTAAATATTAGCAAGAATACTCGTAATCATTATAATTTTGTAATTTTGTAATACCTGGTCGTGCTTTATTTTTGGCTTCCTGAATTCTTTTCCTCGTCCTGGTTTCTGAGCTGTTAGAAGAATCACTCATTTTGTCGTAAGTATTAATTGATTTTTTCGTAGTACAAAAACTATTTCTTTAAAATTATTAATAAGTTCTAAGTGTAGAAAAAATAATTCTAATAATTACTTGAGCACAAGACTAAATTTTAAAATTCAATCAAATTTCAAAAAAATAATAATGTAGTGAAAATCAACATTAAAATCGTATTTGAATATAAATCTATAACAGTATTACAAAAATATAATTATTCTTTATAATACTAAATCTTGACTGATTTATTTTGTTAAATTTAGAAAATAAACATAACCTTTTAAGTAAACCTTAGGTTTGGTTCTGTGATAAAATTGTCTTAAACAAAAACTATTAAAAATAAACGGCTTTTTTCAAAGAGATTATGATGATAATGCGGTTATTTAGATCTAAATTGCCGGATAAGTAATAAATGATAATATTTGTCAATTTGTTAACAAATTCGAAATTATTTCAGGCTTAACGCAATGATTTCAAGCCTTTGGCCATCATACACTTATTTGTGTTTGAGGATTATAGCATATCACCATGTAATATGTAACATATAACATGTAACCAATGTATAACAAAACCTATTATATTACTTGTAGATACTTTTAATTATTTAAATATTATAAATGTTTTGATAATGACTTTAACTTATGATTGTAAAAATTGTGAATTAACTGTGGTATACATTTTTTACGGTAAGTTTTTAAAAATAAAACGGTGAATAATGTGTGTGTTTTAAGTATTAAATAAGTAGATTCTTGTTATGTCGAACGTCACTATTTCGAATTTTTAATTTATCTCGAACTACGTTGAAATCCCATTGAAACTTTTATTACATTAATTAAATTAATATTTAATTTAAATAAATAACATTATCAATAGCATAATCATTTATTATTATTATTTATCTATAAGCTTATGTGTTTTGTGTTTGTATGTTAAACTTACAACACATATTTAATTTTTTTTATTTGAACTGTTATTTTAATGTATGGGGTTAATTATTTGATTTATATTTGATTTTATGCAAACATGTATTATTTATATTATTAAATTTAGTCTTAAATGTTGGGGGTTGGATCACATATAATTTTTGAATACATAGCATTTTTGATTTAATTTATTATTGTTGATTTTGTTTATGTATTTATATAATTCAAATAATGTATTGAAATTTATATATTCATTAAGAAATAATTTTAACTGAGGATTTTATGATACATTTTTATTATTAAATCTTAAATATAGGTATTAATTTTTATTCTTTTTGAAAATTTAAGTGGTAAAACTCATAACCAGAATTAAACAACATTTCACATCAAGTGGCAGGTTGTTAATATTAATTAACTAATAAAATCATTGCAACTTTCAGATATAAAATGATTCAATGTGAACATCAGAAAGACATCCCATCAAAATCTATTATTTTTGTCAGACTACATACATGTATAGTGAAGGTTGTTTACTGTACTTATTGTTAGTAAAAAGAACACTTTAGTAAATAAATTGTATTTGTGTTTCTATTTATGGTTTAAATATGTCTGAAAGAATAAAGTTATATATCTTCCTTACTTTTTTATGTTTATAATATTGATACTTATGACTAGTACTAGAATATAATATTAAACTAGTATACATTTACAACAAAAATAATTATTAAACCGTTATATTTTAATTTCTTTCTTTCAGTATTATCTTATTTTGTGTCAGTTTCTTTTTATTTAGTCCATTATCCAATAACATTCATAAATATTATATTATTTAGTATAGAATTGCATAAAATATCTTTAGGTTCATACTGAATAATAATTATCATTTAATTTTGTTGTTTAGGTACTAGTACATTTCTTAATATTTTGTATTGCGTTTATAAAATCTGATATGAATCATTCTTCTAGAATCACATCATTCTCATTTTTGCTGCATACAATATTTTCATGTATTTCACTGTTCCAAACAAAGCCATCAGTTATTACTAATAATCCTAGAATTTTTTTATACAGTTTTATTAATTATATAACTTAAAATTATAAAGGTTGATGTAAACAAAAAATTTAATTTATTATTACCTATATAATATAAATCAAAATTAAACGTGAGTAGGTATTATGATTGATATAAGATTTAAATTATTGTTTAAAAATATGATATAGTTTAAATTTTTTGGTGACAGCCTATTTTGACAATTATTTGTTAGCAATCCAGCTTTCGAAAATATCCGCTCAGAAGGAACTGAAGTCGATGGTATACAGAGATATTTTAGTTGAAGTTTGTATAATTTGGGCATTATCATCTTGTGCTGTTTCCAAAAATCTAAACTATTTTTTCCTCGGTGCAAATGGGGTAACTCTAAGTACTGAGGCATCATTAATGTTGCAGAAACATTTGGACATATGACGCTTCTGACTTCTGTCACTTTTTGATCAAAATTATCCCATTAAGAATAAGAGGACCCTGTTGAAGTTAAGGAAGCTGGTATTTCGCTTATATTATCAATATTATCACCAGCATCATTATTAAAAGCCAATATAATTATGAAACCATATTCATTTTAATTGCTTTTTATAGTTTTATATTATAGAGCTACAAAATCAGAACTTTATTCATAACACATAAGACATTTGTAATTTTACATGTTTAAATTCTGGTCAGTTTAAAGTGTAAGTTAATTTTGCTGTCAAGTTTTATATTTGATGTTATATATATACTTAAATATCTACTTACAGGCCATATTCACTCAAAGTTAAAATTATTTTAGGTATATATACATGTAGGTACCTACCTATAAAATACATACCTGTTTACAAACTTGGTAATTTATAATAAATACATTAATATATCTGACTTTATAATTGTTAAGTAATACTTGAAACTAGTTTTGAACACTTTCATTAGGCATTATTAAATAAAAATGAAACTAGAGTAAAATATTGTATACTGTATGTGTGTATGGTTGTATGAAATATTTAAGTATTGTATGGGGGAGGGGTAGGGGCAAAGCCTCTCATGTTTTGTGTTTGTTAAACGGGGGTGGTGGTCCGTAAAACTTTTTACTTGCCTCCCCATTTAAAATATAGTTTGGCGCCACTGTGCACCACTGTCCGAAACTATTATTATAATTTTATTTGTAATATTCCACTCACAGAGCCCAACTTAGGAAATATGGGCCCGGGGCAGTATAATCTTAGGAGCCTTTAATATTTGTTTAATGTAATTTAAAAATTATAGTCAACATTAAAATAACATTATTGCATTAATGAATAAAAGTTTTATTTACAGACCAAAAATTAATTGTTAATACTCGTATTATATTTAAAAATAATTATTAAGTACCGGTAAAAATGAAAAATATTAATTATTTATTAATGTTTACTAAATTACATAAATAAAAATTTAAGTCAATGGTTTCTTTCGAGATTTTAATTCACTAAATTTCTGAATTAAATCTGAAAAATCCAATGTGTCAGTTATTTCCCTTTCAGCAGATAGACGAACGAGTGAGTTTAATTTTTCTTGGTGAAGGGACGTTCTTCTGGCGTTTTCAGTAAGTTCTAATTTTGAATTTGTTCTTTCTGCTTCACGATTCGAAATTGGCAAAGTTAAATAAATTCGTAGAGAAATGCACACATTTGGAAAAACTTTTTTTAAATTATTCTCATGTACATATAAGTAAATATTTTTAAGGAGTAATTATTGGTAATTTTAACTGCATTACATAACTTGAAAAGTACACAATCTCATGTTTTATATTAGTTATATCAATATCATCTTCAAATGTGCTAATAAATATGTCGGCAGAAGTCTGTTAATAATTCTAATCCAAATTTTGTAATAAACCCAAAAATATTACAAACATTATTATATGCGTTTAATCTTTTATCAAGTTCAGTAACTAAACGATCAATAATAACGTAAAAAGTATCAAGCTCTAACTTTCTTATACCACAAAAGTTTGAATTTCCTTCTATTGTACCATTCGAGAATTTTTTTTTCTTACACTTTTTTCAACACAGAGCAGAATATTTGTTGATAATACCCTTGCTTTGTTTTCAAAATATATAAACTTCTCTCTTAATGAACTAACATAAGTTTTTAATCCTTTCAATAAATTTACGGCTGTAAATAAATCTATTCCCGGTTTTTAAAGGTATTTACTAACACTGTTAAACTGCGATAAATTTTCACTCCATAACTGCCATAAAAGTTGTTTTAAATTTTATCGTTTTATTTTTTATTGATTTAGCCTCATGACGATTTTCTTGTTTTTCATTACAATTTTCAAAAATAACTGTTAATGTACATATTATTTGGTCATAATTTAAGATAATAGTATATACTAATTATACAATTACATGGACGTGCCAGTGGCGTGTTCAGAATTTTTGTTGTGGATGGGCCACCAATTTTTTTCTATTTATAAATCTTTTTCATTGATCATCTGACTTACACTAATCTAGTACTTATATAAAAATGTGAATGGGCACATGCTTACCGGGCCCACCCCCTAAACATGCTACTGGGACGTTCGTATGGACTAGAAAGGAACTATAAGGAATATAAGAAATTGTATTAATTATATCAGGATGATTATGATTTTTTTAAACACTTTAATTTTATAACTCCTATTAAATTTACTACTACTCGTATTTAATATAAAAAAAATTAATAATTATTTTATATTTACCATTTAAGTTAGTTGTATTTTCATAGAATTTAAAATTTTTTTTTACAAATTTGACAACTAACTAGTTTTGTCAACATTTTTTTTGAAATGCTCCCACACCAAGAAACGCTGCTTACTGCCGGGTCTCATTTTAAACTTTAAAAAAAAACTGGATTGTATCTTTAATATTTATTATAATTATTCGAAAAAATTGATAATTATATTACTTAATTTTTATAACATACTACTTACTATAGGCCAATACATAGTACATACGATTTTAAATATAACAATTTTAACGTATAAAATGAACAATTAACGATAACAAATATACGATACAAGTTGTATCATACAATATACAAATAAAATTAAAATATACCGAAATAACAAATAATCCATATGATCAAAATTTAAAATTATTATTCATGATAGCATTGATTTTATAATATATTATAAAATCAATGATAATAGATATAAATATAATAATAATAGAAACCATTTCTTAAACTATTCCAGATAGTACAGAAACAGAATAAGTACAGAATTTGTATAGAAAATGTATAGATAATTATTTTTATTTATATTCGTATAACATACCCAGTGCGGTGCGGGTCGCAGGATAATAAAGTCCTCCACTCGTCATCAAGCAGATGCAAATGCTATTTTGATTAAAGTATAAACTAGTAAATATAAAAACAGTAATTATTAATTAGTAATTAATAATTTTTCATTCGATTATTTTATCTCAATTGTTCCCATCACTACGGATTACCCATTAGGCGGAGTAGGCGCCCGCCTTAGCGCCTCACTCATTTAAGAGGTCCTGTGAAAACGGAAAACTATACTTATTTTTTTTTATTTAATAATACATGTATTTTATTTACGAATTTACGGAACAAAAGTCATTATGAAATATAATATATAAATTAAGTTGTAGGCGTTATAGGCAGTAATAATAACACAATTATTTTGAAAAAAATAGAAATAATATAATTTATTGATTTTCATTGCAAATAAAAAAATTAAATAAACACAATTTTGTTTATAAATAATAGCTGGTTATTATTAAAGCTGTTTATTTTAATTATTGGATAGTAATGTTAAAAATGTATGTAAAAAATTATTTTGTAGGGCCCAACATTTTAATTGCTTAGAGGCCCACAAATATTTAATCCGGCACTGATTGTTATGAATTAACTAATAAAATACAAAATATAATTGAATAAAATATAAATTGAAAATTATAAATTAAATCTTCAAAACATATCTCATTACATATTTTTTTTTAAATCATCTTCAAGAAATGAATACTTGTTTTGATAAGAAAAAAATGTTATTGTTAAATCGACATAAAAATACTAAAGCCTGTATTAATAACTTCATGTTAGTTACGAGTTTGTACAATGACAGACTTTAAAAGTCATTTTAGACTTAACAGGAATTCAGTCAAGGTAATAATTTTCAATATTAAAATAATAACTCATTTTTTGTTATAATTTTTTTTATTATTTAAATATATTTATATTTCTTTATTATTAATCTTGCTTTTCCTTATTAACTTCCATATTTTCACTTTCCATTATAACCACAGAATATAATAATGTTATAACACAGTCGACTGTCGAGTGTGCTTGTCACTTGATACTATAAAAATGTGAAATACTGAAATGTCTTGCAAATCACATAAATGATATAAAATTAGAATTTGGCGCGTAGTTTTTATCAAATCCATCTGAATTTTTATTTGTCCAACCGGATAATAACGGATTCCTGATAGTACAATCCGCTTAGTTACCTCCCTTCCACCGGATTGAAGAAACGCTGAAATTAGGAACACTAAATTCTAGCGGCTGACCAATCTGCTGAGTTTTGGAACAGACTAATACAGCTTTAACTCGAGACTAAGACATGACGCGCAAATATAAAATGAAAATAAATGTTCCACTGTCAGAGAGCATTCGTCGTGTTCATCGTTGTTTCATGTTTTTAAGCATATTTATTGATTTTAATATTGTTGAAAGGGGCATGTACCAGTTGCCCTCACATGTTTATATATACACGATTACAATATATAGCCTGTAAGATAGAGGAGGTAAATATACAAATTATAAATAAAATTATTTATAAAAATAATGTAAGATAGTATAAAATGATAAAATCAAATTTTGATATTTGCAATTATATATAATATTGTATTTTTTAATAAATAATAAATATAATATATTATACAAATAGTATGGAATAAATATAAATGCTTCTGCAAATGGAGTTTACATCGTTTGATGTTACATTCACATGTACATACATAGTAGCATCCTTAGATCAATATCAATATAAGGATATACTTCAACAAAATTATTTTCTTCTATAAATGCTAAATAATAACATACATTGAACACTTTTAGGTACAATTTTACTCCTTTTGTAAACTTTTTAAATGTGCCTTAAAGTGAATACCGCATTCTATGTACCCGAGTCTTTATTACAAACATTGAACGAAAATATAACAACTTATCGAATAATACATGTAATATACCTATTTTGCTATTTTACTATTACCTAGGTGACTAGGTATAGTATAATTTTTTTAATTTCTTATTAGATGTTTAACAATATTTTTTAAAATACTAAACAATACCGAAAAAGGTGTGAAAATTAAAAAAATCATGAAAACATCAATAATAAAAGTTAGAATATTTTGCCGCCCGGGGCATTTGTCCCTTTCGCCCCCCCCCTTAAATACGCCATTGGTTGGATGATCGATTAAACATCCTTTTAAAACATCAACATTTAAATATTCATCATCATCTTTACAGTTGCATTTACATATCTGAACATTTCATTTAACTGTATGAACAGATGCTTCCAAAACAACATCTAAAAATACGAGTTGTTGGATTTCTATTATAACCATTTTTTTGTCTTATTATTGAAAATAAATTTTCCAATGGATCTTGGGTTAATCAATTAGTCATAAGAAAAAAAGTATTTTCTGAATATTTTTCAGTAACACGGCGGAGTACTCGTTTTTTTATTTTTATGATTAATTTTAACGAGATGTTTAATGTTGATATTGATTTTTTTAAATTTGAAAATATTTGTGGACTTTTTATGCTTAATGGACTTTATTGGGATTGTTATCAAAAAGATTTTTACTATTTCCAGAATCAAAAATATCGTTTACTGTTATAAAAAAGTTTGCAGTGTTGATGATTAATATTTATAATCAATGATATTAGGTATGCGCATAAAAAATATTCCACAAAGTAACGATAGAAATACGATGATTTCAGAGAATGTAATTTTAATGGCAAAATTAAAAGATGCGGAGTAGGCACTACAAAAACGATGGGCTAGGAAAAAATAAACCGTACACGATGGTCAACGAACAACAATGAAGGGATATTAGCTGCTACCAATGTTTTCCAATCCGAATCGTTGCTGCTCGCATCGAGTTCGATTACACGATGCACACGGAACGTCCGCACCTTAACATCGTACAGAAAATGAATGTAACGCGAGAAGGACGGCTTCCGTTTACGTGCAAGCAGACAATTTAAGATAATCTAGGAACCGAATGGTGTCGGGTGGGTAAAGCGATGCAGAGCGGGTGTAGAATCGCGTAACCGCGACGAGCGTTTGTCGCGGGAAACCAACGGATACACCGCACGATAGCAGAACAAGTAACGTGAGCGGACAATGGTCGGTGTGACGATATTGTAATGTCCGCCATAACCATACGTAGTCGAGTGGCGGTGTAATTGTGAAGCATTGTCGCCGAAAACACTGGTAACCAGCACCCTTTTCACAGCCGGCCCTCGTCGCATGTTCACCCGGACGACATACAGCCGCGGTGAATCATCGTTGCGCATTGGCAACGTCGCATGGCAGCAGTGGCGCACGCGATGAATGGAATTCTCACTGCAGCATGGCCGTTGGCCCGGTAATTATCGGTCTCCCCACCACGCGGACCTGGTTAAATACCACCGCGCGCCGCAGTCACCGTTGTTGCGTGATTGTGATGATACCATTTATTACGGTCGGTACTGGTGGTTACCCGTAGTCGACGCGAAGTTTTTATATGCACTTAACCGTCTGTCTATTTATCTATCTAACTGTCTATTTTTATATGTTTATGTATATATAAGTTTTTCTCCGCGAAACATCGCGTTTCGTCGTCGAGACGACCCCGCCGAAACGGGACGTCACTACCCGGACGAGAATTCAGCGGGCTTTGCAGTTCAGCGGTGCGTTATCATTTGTACGTAACGCGGCGTCCGGAATAAAAGGTATGTCGTCGTTGTTATCATTGTTCCAGTGATAGTGGTGTAATTATTATATATACGTTTTACGATGGGCCCAGAGTCAAATTTATGTAAATGTTTATAATTTGTAAACGCCGAAAACGAGACACTGTTCGACGAGTAGTAGCAATCATGACGTTTTCCATGCGAGTGATGTTGTTAAGCGGGAAAAGTCTAGTCTCGAGTGTACGTAACGAAGATTGCTTGGCGATTTAAATTTTTTTTGTTTTCCGCAAAATGTTTTTGCCGAGAAACCGAAACGACGATGGACAGCGTTCTCGTACCGCATTCGTTGGCCGAACAAATGCCGGCACGTGATCGACCGCCTGGGCTTTTCGCTCGCGCGCTTTCCTCCGTTGATAAGAATTTCATCGCACGTGACCCGGCCGTTAATGATTTTGACGCTGTCGCAGTCTGCAGCAGCTTTAGGCACTCACGATTCCCGTGCGTCCGATTTTTTGCGTCTTTTGTCCGCCGTCCAAATTTGGTCATCGTTCCATTCATTCTCTTCGGTCGATCGACCAATGTTTAGCGATCGACTTAACCTTTTTTTTCTTCCGATCATTACGATAATCATATTCACGGAAGTTGTTATCGAACCGATTTTCCAGAGCGATAAACCTACGTGGATGGTTGCAGTTTCACTCGTGACAATATAATAACTTACGACATTATACTATTAGTTTATTAATATCAGTGTAGAACAATAGGTTATTCGCTTGATTTAAATAAATATTCCATCAATCTTTGATTTTATGTTGTGATTGCACATATTGTATTGCGTCAAATAAATAAACAAACTGTTCAGTATTTGTACATAATTTATAAAAAAATGTCTTTCTGAATGCGCTTCATATTCATTAAATCAGTCGTAAACTAAAAAATTAGGGCTTACGGTCGACAGTTGATAGATTTAACATTGTTTAAAAGCAAAACTATTTTTGGCTCGTTAATTATAAGCTAATATCTGAACTTGTTTTATTTTATTGTAGGTATAATTAGTGATTAAGAATCTACGAAACAGTAATACATTTGGGTAACTAGACAACTTGTCTTAATCGTTAAAAGAAACCAAAAATATAGTTTATCATTAAACAATGAACCTCATCTCTAATATGATCTAATATGATTATGGTTAAAGAATAAAATAAAATTATTTGGTTATAGGTATTGTTGGTGTAGGTATATTGTATTTTTATATAATTAAAATATTTTAAAATGTGAGCCTTTTACGTTTTTATTAAATATTTCTATTGTTCATTCTGAACTCTGAATGTTCAAGACAAAGTTATAATACTCAATCATATAAATTATATTCACGTTTCAGTTATAATGTCCACAGCATTACTAAATTCGGTAATTTTAATAGGAGAAAGTGAATTTTATGAATCTAATTCTATGAAATGTTGAGTATGAGTATTTTAGTATCTAATATAATTGATGTACATGATGTATTTACAAAATGTCAAGTACAATGTAATAGTTATGATTTGAAGTTAAGATTCGTAAAAACTAGTGAAAACATAAAAATCGTCGTAAACATTAATAAAAATATGTTTTTTTTTCGTAAAAATGCTGTTGGATTTGCAATATATGTAAATGATTCACATATTTTAAATCATAAATTGACCGAGAAAATAAATCAACTTGGGTGTGTTATTTATACTGTCATACATAGGTATCTATTTGCAGTAGTCAGAGTAATGTAATCTTAAACGAAGTCAATATAGGGCATATATTAATGGTTATCATACCTATAAGATTTTTGTATTATTGTGTTATGTATAATATTGCATAACGATCCATTTTCATTACTGTGAACTTTGTATATACGTTTAAATCTAATTTTAACGGAATGTAAAAAAATTGTATATTTTTATTCAAATAAAGGTATTAGTTAATATTTTCATAATTTGATTACCTATAATAAATTACCCTAGAATGTAAAATGTTTAATTTTACATGCATTTAATCACTTTCTCCTTTTGATGGAGTGTCCTCAATACAATCTTGACCATTGAAGTTTGTAATGTATTATATATTATTATACCATACATTCTTACGTAATGATGCAATTAGGTAATTTATACGATCAAGTCCATATGAAAAAGTCCGTAAATAGTTTTTTTCGATCGTAATAATTTTTCGCTTATTACTGTTGTATTTTATTATTTATTAATAATTAAAACAAAGTATAAGAAATCATCATGTAATATTTTTAACACATTCATTAATAATGTAATAAAATATCGGACGGGGTACATGTATATTGAACCATGTTGTTGGTACTCTCGCGAATTTGTTTTATAATTCAACATGCATTGATATTTATTTTAAAATAACAAGCACAGAAAATGTTTCTTTGAACACATGTAACAATTGTTTTAAGTTTTCGAACTTCAAGTGCTCTACATTTGTTGAAGATATTAAAATTATGTGAAACACCAATAGTATATAAAGTGTAATATAAGCCTCTCAAGGCGTAATTTTGTTCGTAATTTGTTAGATGAAAAAATAAAAAACATATCGGTTTTAAATATTTTTTTGTGTACAAAACCTAACCAATAAGTTGTTATTTGGAAATATTTTCATTAGATCATTATCACAGTTAATGTTGTGTAGTTGATCCTAAACTAATAACAACTATTAATTTTAATTAGTTTTATATTATTTTATTTGTTATTTTTTTCAGTTAGGTTCTCATTGTAGAAGCCCACTCTATTTTTATATAGTCCATTTTTATGGAAACATGTGCCTGTTATTAAATATTCAAAAATTACTCTGCGCTGAAAAATTAATATCGATTTTCAGAACAACATATTTTTGCGAGTCTTTATACTCAACCATGAAAATGATTAAATCTAAACATCGATCAACATTAACGGATGATCATTTAACGGAATTGTTAAGGACTACGTTAACAACATCTAGTCCTGATTTTAAAAAAACTTACAAGCAAAATAAACCCGCAACAAATAAAAAAATAGTCAATAAAGAAAAATTATATCAAGAATACTATTTTTACTAATTTTTTTGATACACTGTAATTTAATTAAATATACTTTTACAAATACATAAATTCATATAAAAATATTTTTTTTGTAAAAGTGTTACGATAAGATGCGAGTCGCGGTTTGGCCACCCCTGTTATATAACATATAAAAACCGTTTTTCACCTTAATTTATTTATGCACATTATCACTGTTTTCGTCAAACATTAAAAAATTACTTTAAGCTAAACAATACCAACCCTCTGATTAATTTATATTTAATTGTAATAAGTTTAAAATTAAATATTTAAAAAAGTTAATATAATATTATAATATACTTGGTTTTAAACATTTGAAATTTCAATATTTTCCTCTATAAATAAATTAATTAATATGAAAGGAAATGTTGATTACTTGATGTACTAAAGATTAGTACAATCATTGTTCTTTAATCTTGTAATTATGAAGGAGGGAGTGACATCATACAACAGCAAGAAAGGTGGCATGAACATCAAAGGGTTGACGTTGAATTTATGGTATGACTGAGGACTACGTCTTTGAATTTTATTTTATTTAGAATATTTACTATTTAATTATTAACTCCGAAATAAATCATTGTTTCTATAGTTCTAAACCCGGTTCTAAATTAAGTGTGCTAGTGAACAGTTTATTTATTTGAATATTTTTAGTTTTGCATGGTTAAAATAAATTAGTTTTAAAATATTAAATAAATAAATTATAAATGAATACATAGGATTCATAGTAGCGATTTTATAAACAATGTATATACCCGATGGTCAATTTTAAATTCCAAACATATAATAATACTACAGACTACGCATTTATTTATTTCTGTATATAAATTATAAATAATATAATATTATAAACATTTATTTATTATATATTCATTTTTGAGTATTGACTATATATTAATTTTTTTTTTATTTTATTATTTTATTTATAACTAAATAAGTTTTGTTGTTAAGTTATAAAATATATTATGATTGATTGATCGAAAAATATCAGATGCTTGATAAAAAAAAAAAAACCTTATTATATAATTTTATTATAAAATATAAAATTATTTTTAAATTGTTATATTTATTGTAACTATTTGTTATAGTTTTTTGTTGTAATATGCTATTTTAGAACTTAAACTCGTAAATAGTAATAAATAATAGTAATAAATAACAATAATATATAAATACACGTTTGTTTTCTTGTATTATAAGTATAAATACTGCTACTATTTATTTGTGTTTTGGTGAAATATTTTTTTAAATATTAGCAAGCCTTATACAACGTAACCTTGAACAAGACTCTTTGAGTTTGTATAAGCTAAGGAGCACCCCAAATAGGGAATGAACACGTTTTACAACGTTCCCCGTGAAACGATCAATGAATATAAAATATGGAATCATCAATAGAGGCAAACATATTTAAAATTATTTATTCTATTTATCAAATAATTTTCTGATTTTTAATTTAACTTTGTACCAAAGAGTTTATTTATAAAATGTAAAATTGTATTGGTATGCATTAGCGTAAAAACCGGGTATACATAGTGTGCATCAGTGGTGGATTTGAGGGGGGGGCGACTTGGCATTCACCCTCCCCCTCCCCTGGGCTTTTATATTGTTCCGCGAAAAAGCTCTATGCCATAATGACTATATGAAATTAATAAATCATAACTATAACTTCAAACTTAATACATTTTACGAAAAAACGTATTCTTTTGAATATCTTATCAATTTTTTTTATTTAATAAATTTTGATTATCAATACAAATTATCGAATTCAAATAACAATATAATATGCAGAGACCTTATGCGATATATATAAGTAAAAATCTATGATAATATGTTGTTCAAAACAAATTGGTTATAACCGCAATTATTGTTGCTTATTGTTTATTTTTGATTAAATTTACGATAATAGATAAAATCATTTTATCGCCTATTAGCACCGCCGTATCAATCTGTTATATATATATGTTTTATAATATGTATATATTTTTGTTTTATATTTCTTTACTGTTTAAATTATTAAACAAAAATATAATATAGTTACTATTTGAAAAATGACACGGAGAACTTTATACCAATTCTTTAATAAGAAATCTAAAATGAATATAGGGAATGGTAAGTAAATTATCTACTGGTATAGTAGTATTATGTTTTGATTTTGTTTTTAATATTTTTATGATCCCAATAGTATTAATCCAGTAAATTTTGAACTTTTGTAAATCAATGTTTTATGTAATTTTTATTATTTATAAATTGTTGATGTAAATTTGTTTTATATTTATTTTGTTCAAGGTTTTGTCTATTAACATATAAATGTAGTATTATTTCCATAGTCGAAATATCGGGGATGCAAAGGGGTGCACTTGTACCTTCTGGAATTTTTAAAGGATGCATAAATATCATTTCCATCAATTTTCTATATTTATTATGTATAAATAGTGCCAAAATTTTAAATATTAATAAAATTATGATAACAATTATAATAGATGATAATTATTATCGCTCATGATTTTTATCGAATTAAAGTTCTTTGATGTAGTATAAAACATGGTTTAAGATATACAGGTAAGCTATCACTAGTACGCTACACGGACTGCGTTACGGTTCAGTAGTTCATATTTTCACCACATGTGCAAAGCGCTAGTAGTAGGTAGGGTCATATATTACTGAATAACTGACGTATATGGTATATTAAATTGTGTAATTATTGGTATTATCCTTTGATTTTTATTATGTAACGCAATTTAATAATTACTATTATAAATTTAATATAGGTAATAAAAAGAGCCCAGATTTATATGCATTTAAAAAGTGACAAATATGATGCAAGTATGCAAAGAAGAATTGCCTAAATATGCAATTATATGCTTTATGTTACACTTTATAAAATGTGTTTTTTTTTTTTTAAAAAAAACTTCATTTTTATACCAAATAAAATTCTAAATATTTTATCAAAAACAAAAAAAAATGATACTAATATCCGCTGCTTTATATTTCAAATCATTTAAATCGATCTAAAACTTTTTGGAAACTTAAAATCGAGAATACAAAAAAAAATTAATATTTTAGATTATTTGAAGTTTTACTCTCAAAAAACGAATTGAAAACTTAAAAAAAATTTTAATTTATTAAAAACCCATTAAATATTCATGTTATAGGTATACATTTATGAACAATTATGCAATAACCCTCAAAATATGCAATATAAAATTTGGTGTTTAAATTCGGTGTAGTATGAATCGTAGACTAAAATGTTAAAATAACGTGCCTACACTTAGTACAAACATGCAAATGCATATAAATCCGGACTCTAGTAATAAATATACTTATTTAGATATCATTATGTCAATATCTAATTATCATTATTAATAGATGATCAAATGGTAAATTATTATAAAGCATTCATTAATTTTCATCATTATTTAAAATTGTTGATTTCACAGAAAAAAATGGCTAAGAAATTTAAAGTAGGTTTTTCGATAATTATATTCATATAACTTGTAGTTATGCTACTAAAAGTCACTTGCAATGTGACTAATTAAAACAGACATAAATATTCAACTATATTTAACATGTTTTTTTAATTTTAAGCTAATTGTCTTTCCAGTAAACTTGATAATATTGTTGTAATCCAAAATACCTTTTACCTTTTTCAAAACTGTATCAAAATATTTCAAATAAATTCAATAAAGTTACAAATTATTTTTATTACTTATTGTATTTAATCTATAATAATTGCAAAAGCCACAAGCTAATAATACTTTAAAAGCAAATTAAAATTAAATATCTAAATATATTAAAATGTTTTCAAATAATGCAGTTAAATAACACAAAAAACAATATATTAATAAAAAAATAAACAAAAATCTGTATTACGAGTATTATATTATCTCGTATTTAAGTTGAGATATTATGAGAGCCTATTTATTTTTATTTTGTCTATTGTTTTTAATTTCTTGGCGATTATCTTGAACTGCCGAGTGGCGCATTCGCATCATAATGAAATTTAACAGAATAGATATGATTATATTATTTTTATGTTCGAAGCATGGAAATTTAATAGAAATATTTAAAGCATCGTCAACTGTAAGATCAAATACGTTTTTTTTATTTGCAGTGTTTAGCAAAGCGCTCTTCTACTTTGTATAGAAGTGAAATAAATGTAAATTTGGATAGGTTAATCCATTTTTTTTTCCATCATTTTGATTTTAAATTAGTGAGCTCAACTTTGGCAAATCATTTAAATTTTTCATATAACTACTGTAATAATATAACCCTACATACTACTAACACTTACAGATGTGGCGAAAATGTGTACTAAACACGTATCGCATTCTGACCGTCAGCTATCAACACAGATATGTATAATAACTAGATACTCGACTTGGCCGACTGCCATATACAACATTATTAAATTATGATACCCGACGCCATTTACAACTTTGGCAATGTTTACAAAGTTTTATCATTTTTTAATCGTTTTGATATCATACATCGTGATACAAATATTTCATAATATACTCAAAATATTATTATTTTTTCATAAACTTAATTTTATTACAATTATACTTATACAGTTATGCATTATTAAACCATGATTGATGGATGAACCAGTCAAGTTCAACTCATTTTACATTGTAAATTTTCAGGACGATTTACTGTACGCCTAAAAATATAAGTTTAAATTGAAGAATCAGTGAATATGAATTAGTGGACTTGACTGTAGCTGCCTATTTCAAATTTGGTTCAATTGATTTGATATTGAAAATAACATATATTTAGTCTACAATTTCAAATATTTCTGTTGAGTGGACATCTATTAGTATGAAAACTAGAAGTATTATAAAAGTATTCGGAATACAATTTGTATGAAGTGTTTGAATACATATGCGGAATACTATTTTTGTAAATATTCGAGTATTTATTCTAAATACTTTTAAAAAGTATTTTACCCAAGTCTGCTTACGAGAAAAAGTGTATTTTTCTAACTCCATTTGTTGAATGTCTATTCGTGCACAAATGTACACTACATGAGGTCACTATCTTAAATTATTAATTTTACAAAATATACAATAATCGTCGAAAAAGGGTCAGTAGTCAGTAAGTTGGGCAATTATTGTTTGTATTGTTGTTAATTGTTATCATATTATTATTTGTAAACATTGCCAAAGTTACAAATAGTTGCCAGCGTCATTGATAAGAAGAAGTTGGTTATCTAGTTATTATACATATCTGTGGCTATCAATGCAATTTAGATATACGATAGCTAACCTGAATATCTTAAATCGTGGTATGAAAGAATCTATCGTAAACCGTTATTTTCTATATCAATGTTTTCTCTATCATTGATTTACCTAGTAAGGAACAGTGTATTCTTATCTCAGTTGATAGTTGTAATCACGATTTGTATGAATGATTAGGTTTTTCCACTGAATTCTACATAATAGGTATTATATAGTATTATATAAGTTAACTTGACTATTATAGCTGGGCTATAGATACTATGGTTGAAGGACGGCCCATAAACGATCAACCCCAAGTATCGAAAGCGGCATCTATGACCGCATATCCGAGCAGCATTCAAATAACAAGAGTTTATGTTATTCTAGATTTGCGATACCCTAAAGTAAATTAATGGTGATACCATGAGATCTCAAAATTGTTGCTATGCTATAAAATAAGGCTATCAAGTTTCAATGATGGTATTATATCATTGAAACATCATCATTCATATTATAGGTCTGTACGAGCGTGAACCGTTTTATTTGCGATTGTTAGATTGTTTATCAAATATTATTTATTATATTATTAAATACAATTCTCTGAATATAGGTTTGATAAATTAGTACTGATCATCCTACTAATGTTGAGTATCAGTTTATTGGAAACTAATTTTTGAATCCCTAAATGTCGATGTGTATATTAAAACATATTTGGACCTTCCTCCCCAGAAATTTATTTTCAGTTACGTAATTGTTAGTACCATTGATTAAATACAATGTTAGTATCTATAAATCTATGATACCAATTCGCTCCCTCTTAAAATGAGTTTCAGATCCGCTACTGGTGTGCATTGTTTACAGGCCCCGGGCCTCGTACTATATTTTAGGGCCTTAAAATGTCTAATGATTGGTATGAAAATATAATATCATTTATTTGAATGAAACTAATGTTATTTACGAACTTTACCAATAACCTTGCCCCACATCCTTTTAGGTTATTGTATTCTGTTCTCATGTTTAAATTATGTTTTATTATAAATATTATAAAAAAATTATATCAAAATAATGTGTACTAGTTGTTTAAAAATAAATATAATATTAATTTCTTTTTTTTTGTATAATATGTTTTTAATGATTATATGTTCTAGTTAACTAGTAGTTTTGACCCAATAGCATACTTCAAGCATTATGTATAATAATATAGGTAGAGGATAACTATGTTAAATGCTAATTCTAAATGCTAATGCAAAAGTAATAAACAAAGGACTAACCTTTTGTGTTTGTTATTATAAATAATTATTTTTTAACTTAGTTTGGTTGTTTAAAATATTATGCAAATTAGGTTAGTAGAATAGCCTTTTTTTGGTGTGTAACTGAATTACGTTTTTACATAGATACAATGTCAATAAAACCTGATCATTTGTATCGTAAAATGATAAAATGAAATAAAAATGACCTCTTAGTTTTATTACATGCTTATGTATGTAGATGGAATTTATATGAAATGTAATCTTTAAGTTACATTTTATAATATGCATTTTTCGTAAGTATAAGGGATGAGGCGTAATATTTAGATATGGATATTTTGCAGTTTTATATCTTTTTTTTTTTTTTGAGTAAAAGAATAAAAGTGAAATAAAGAAAATGTTCAGATGTGCATATAATACTTCAGTGGTGCTGTTTTTTCAAATATTTTTTGTGAATGCTAGGTTCTGAAAGCCTTTATTATAACAATAAACTGTCATTAATCAATCGATTGAATATGATAAAATATTATCAATTAATTTTTAGAAATCCTTGGCTATGTTTCTAAGGCCCGGTTTTTCATTCATCCAATTATTCGCTAGATACGTATCTGTCGGATAAATTTATCTGGCGGATAATCTTTCAAATAAAGTGATTCCGGTTTTTCAATGTAATTTTATTCTCCAGATAGCTATCTGACAGATAAAATTTTCGGCAGTAAAATTATACTAATAGAAGGTAGTTACTGTTCATTATGGAACAAGTTACACACATTTATTTGATTATGATTGGTCAATGATGAAATTGATAAGGAATCGTTCGGTGATATTGACACATTATTATTTATTGTAATACTGTATGTAATTACTAATCAATAATTATTAATTTTGTTGAGTGTTGACTCTCGCTCAATATAAGTTATATTTACTTCTTTTTTCAACATGTCTCAAAAAAACATATCCAAAAAACAAACAAATTTCACATTTTATGAAAAAAAAACTTTTATTGAAAAATGATCTACAAAACCGTCACGCATTATAAAATAAAGTGTTAACTAATAAATTACGAACAACATTTTTTCCAAGTCTGAATCTCATCCTAAAATCATGGCCATCTCACGCCAGCATATGTTTTATTCTTTCGTATACAGAGTACAGACGACGTCGATAGTTCAAATATTGTTAATATTATTAAATATTAACTAAATAAATTAATTAAATATTATATTATTATTGTTAATATTGTTAATATTGTTAAATATTATAATTGTTTCATAATCATCCTCTTCAAATAAATACATGTATATTGAAATTGAAATTGTGTATATATACACATATATATTTAAAATAATATGAAAAATTATGATAACTAACCATTTTTATGTTATCAGCTGTTAATTATCCGTCGAATAAGATTTATTTGATACAAAAAGTAACGGATAACTTATCCGTAACAATGTCCATCGAATAAGGTTTATCCCGACATTGAAAAATTGAAATGTATCAATTTTTTCTTATCTGTCAGATAACTCAAGTTATCTGACGAGTAAATGTGATTGAAAAACCGGGCCTAAGTAAATTAAAAACCATATTTTTAGTTTACTAAGGAAATTAATCTATGTTATTTATTTTTTCCTATATTTGTTAATGTTTTGTTTTTGGTCTATTATAGATTTTGATAACATAATTCGTTGCATAATATATTCGTTGCAGTATATATAATACATTCGAATAAAATCTTGGAATTAAATGATATATATTTAAATATTGAATAATGTGTTTTAATATATTTTTGTAAGTAAAAATATCAAAATACTATTGAAGTTGAGTTTATTAAACTAAAATATTTGAATTTTATATTTGTTTTAATGTATTCTAATTAAAAATAGTAAATAATTACACAATATTGTCAGATTGAATGTACATTATGGTTCGAGCAAACTTAGGCTATAGTCTTCAAACCTACAACTGTGGCCTATGAAATATATGAAAAAATATTTTTTTGTTTGTATTGTTTAATTAAGAATTGGTTGTTTTGGATAAATAGTACTATCTATTTCAGTTTATTCTAGAAATGCTAAGAAAGAAAATTACTGTATAGCCATTGTAGATAAGATATCTTTCGTAAAAATCATGGTGTATACAATATACGAGACAATATCAAGGTAAGTAAAACATTTAAAATATTTGATCGCCATTATCATTCTGACCGTAGTAGTATTTTTATTGCCATCTTTATCGGTGCAAATTATAAGTATTAATTGATAAAAATATAGGGTTAAAGCTTAAACTACTGTTAGAAATTTAAAGTTTTGAAAAATTTGACGTATTTACTTATTTTTATACATAAATCCAAAATCAGAGAAGGAAGATAAACTAACTTCATCGGTTTTTATTTTCCCTTTTATTCTGTTGAAATTACTAAATAATTTAGATTACTTAACTATATAAATTAATTAATTTGAACTAATTTTTATTTAGTTATTATCAATATTTAATTATCTATGTTAATATTAGTTATTATAATTTATTTATTCGAAACGTTTTTGTAATTGTAGGCAATATTGTTTTAGTTGTTAAATCGATCGTGATACATTGGTTTGTAATGTATTATTTTCACTTATATATGTGTTTGTAATGTTTGGATATTGTATTTTAAGTTCTTAATATTGTCGAGAATGTTTA